GAGTGGATTGCATATGCGACCGAAGTGCACTAGCTCGCATCCGGTTGACATTGATGTTTTTTTTTTTTACAAACCGAACAATAAGCCTGCCAGTTATGCCCTACTGTAGGCCTGAGCCAGTCCTTAAACGCTGGGTCTTCCACCCAGCTGTCAGACACCTTGCATTTGCCCATGATGACGACGATGGTTGTCTGGACGTTGAAGATATGCCTAAACTAGTCAACAACATAAGCTAGTCAGTTGGCTATCCAGTTTAGCTGAGCGTGCAAAGTATTTGAGATGTCAAATGACCACTGAATATGACGTCAGCATCAAACATACCAAGTTGAGACAAGACGAGGATCTTTGATTATGTGCCCCGATATGCTAAAGCCCACATTTAAATGAACTAGCGCAAACTTTAGCAGATAGAATTTCAATCAGAATAGGATGCCACAGTCTGAAAAAATTATACTTATTTTAAAAAAATACCTCTAAACCACATTAAACACTTTTTAATTGCCTTAAATTTGGCAATTTTGATTAATCACTTTTAAATACTTTTTAAAGACACACTGTAAACACGCAAAGTGTCAAAACTAACAGACCTTAGACTTTTAGCAATGTTTGGCATTCAATATTTACCCTCTGACTCCTCATGTCTCAAAGAACTTAACATAAAAAATAAAAAAATCAGTACATCTGAAGCCTACTAAAGAGGAGAGTAGTTGGTAGAGAGCAATGCTTCAGCTTTATCTTTACATAATATTTCAGCAAGCCCCCAGAAAAGTCTTGTTGAGATTTGGTATTCTGGTTTCTAACTAACAAAAGCACTTGTTAAAAACTCATTTAAAACCCTTTTGGGTGATCTCTTTTAATAAATTGTGTAATCAATTGTGCAGTAAAAATGAAAGAAATGCATTTTTCTATATCTTACCCATGAACATAGAACAGGGTGTAGAGCTTCTTTACATCTGCTAAACAGGCCTTGGTGACAGAGAGCATGCCTGTGGGTTTCACTGTGAGGGGCTCCAGGGCCGGGCTCCCTGATTCCACCAGATGTGAGAAGAGGTGCTCCACACTTCGTCTGCAGCCCACACATGGCACCAGCTGAGATAATGCACTGTAAACCTCTCGGGAAGTCACCATCAGTGCAATATTCAAGTCCTGTTGTTGCAACTTGGAGTGGTACTAAAGGCCAAGGAATCATATGTTATCACTTCACTGAGAATTCACAGGAGCATAAACACAATTCACATGATTCCATACATTTCATGATAGGCCACTTAAAACTACCCACCTCAGAAAATTGCTTCCAATGATAAGTGTTTATTTCATGGCTGTCAACATCGATAACACTGTCAGAAAACTCCATCACCATCTGACAACATTAGATAAAACACAACAGTTAATGTGCATTAATGTCTCTGATATGGCTCGTTGTCTGGCAAGTAGAAATTTTCTCAAAACACACATTGCTGTGTAAACAGATACCTCTAATTTCTAATATGTCATGTAGTATTGCAGAAATGTACCTTCAATTTGTCATTTTCAGGACTGCACTTGCATCAACCTAACGTGTTAGGAAAGACAACCTTTTGATTGCTTACGTGTGTTATCTCTCATTCCTAGGCCCTAAAAATGTAGTACTTGTCTAAACGTTAAGCGTTTTTTATTGATTTGAGTTAGCCATTTCACACCTGTGATCTTTGGAGACATTCTCGATAAATATGGAAAAGCTTACTTACCGTGAGACTATCATCGATATAAAGGGGAATCTGTCTGGCGAGAAATGAGTAGTCCTCTTCCCCTTCCCTGCAAACTGCTACCAGGCGTGCCATGACTTTTTCCCGTTTCGGTTATGTTGCAGCTCGTCTGCAGGTGACACACAGAAAACCGACTGATCATATCTGACATTGAACAAGCTAATGTTAATCGACTGCAGATCATCGCGGGCTAGCTACAACATTGCCTTGTCACTAACGTTACATTAAGCATATCCTTAAGATTACCAGGAACGACAACCTTTTATTTAGACTGACAACATATGACTTCGCGTTACTAACACTACTCCAGACAACATATAACTTAACGTTATTAACTCTACTGCAGACACATTTGCCTTGACCCAAATTCAACCAGCTAAGTCAGTAACGTTAGAACAACCTGGAGAGGGGTATGTTGGTTTAGTTTGTAAATTTTGTTTACGGATATTTTGTCTGAAGCGTTCAAGGTATGAAGACCCATTTAATCATGCAAACGTATATGTGCTGGATAGGATAGAGAGTAACCGGTTGCTAGCCAGTTAACGTTAGCCTGCTAGCTAGTGTCACTACGATTTTAGAAATTGAGAAAGCCGGTCACCGTATTCTGTACACAAAGATCTTCCATCAATGATTATATATTCTTAACTCTTATCAAACATGAAACAGTCATGATATAGTTTGTCTACACCCTGTCGATGCCCGCTAACTTACCAGTTATCGTTAGCGTAGCTATCCGTCAAAGCTAACGTTAGCAAGTTGAACACGGCTAATATGAAGTTACACTGGCGACTGACTACTTAGCAACTGCCAAATTCACCAACTTTTTTTTTTTTTATCTATGGCTTGACCATAGGCTGTCACCGTGACAAAATAATAGGACATTGAACAAATGAGTATTATTGTTTGTACTTACCCGCTTCTAAAACTTCCCCTTAAAAACAATAAAGTACGACGGCGAATTACGCTGCAACGGTGGCGGAACCTTCATAACTGATTTGACCTTTGCCCTCTACACGTAGTAGTTAACGTAGCTGACGTAGGCGTGTGTTCCCTTAATACATTCATGGTATGGCCTCCAGGGGGCGCATAATGTAATATATTTTGAAATGGAAAATGTTCATTCATGTACAGTATATGTCATATACTGTATGTATATGAAAGCTGTTAATAATTTGATTGAAATGAATACCTCAGTCCTAGGGGGTGCACATATATAATAATAAATAAAAAAAATTCCCACTCGCCCCCCACTTTGGGGCGATCTTGTATGCTTTCCTTCAAGCTCCGGTCCTCTACCAGGGGCCTGGGAGCTTGAGGGTCCTGCACAGTATCTTAGCCATTCCTAGCACTACACAGAGATCTCAGATGTTGTTCCTGGGATCTGCTGGAGCCACTCTCCCAGGTTGGGGCTCACAGCCCCCAACACACACACGTGCGGTTATCCCTTTTGCTTGTACACTTTTTTCTACCACATCTTTTCCTTCCCTTCGCCTCTCTATTAATGTGCTTGGACACAGAGCTCTGTGAACAGCCAGCCTCTTCTGCAATGACCTTTTGTGTCTTGCCCTCCTTGTGCAAGGTGTCAATGGTGGTCTTTTGGACAACTGTCAGGTCAGCAGTCTTCCCCATGATTGTGTAGCCTACAGAACTAGACTGAGACACCATTTAAAGGCCTTTGCAGGTGTTTTGAGTCAAATAGCTGATTAGAGTGTGGCACCAGGTGTCTTCAATATTGAACCTTTTCACAATATTCTAATTTTCTGAGATACCGAATTTGGGGTTTTCATTGGTTGTCAGTTATAATCATCAAAATTAAAAGAAATAAACATTTGAAATATATCAGTCTGTGTGTAATGAATGGATATAATATACAAGTTTCACTTTTTGAATGGAATTAATGAAATAAATCAACTTTTTGATGATATTCTAATTTTATGACCAGCACCTGTATATATATATATACACATACACACACAGGGACAAATAGAACATAATTTAACCTCAGCTCGTTTATATGCTAGAAAATTTGAGAATGAGAAACAAAAACCTTCCACTGAATAATGAGCAGGGAAGTAACAAACTACAAGAGATGAAGAAAAGGATAGATAGATAAATAAATAAAATAAATAGATACTGTAGATGAATAAATAAATATATAGAAATGTGTATACACTCCAAAAATGGACCAGAAAGAATTATTGATATCCTCAACATAATATTTGGTAGCACATCTTTTGGACAAAATAACTGAAATCAATCTCATCCTGTGAGTTTCTTCCACCCCTTCCATCTACTTGAATTTTGGACAGCTCTTCTTTTGCCAAGTGCTCTAGGTCTCAGATTTGAAGGATGGTGATTGAAGGTATTTTTAGTCAGATAGATATTGGATAGATACTTTATGTATTGATACTTTTTGTATTAGAAATGTTTAGTGGAGATAGGATGTCTAGTTAGACTGTTAAATGCTTAGGCCTGCTTATGAGTTTCTACAGGGTACATCTGGTCAAGGATAACTAGAGAGAAGAGTTGATGACTGTCAGCAGACAGGGTGTTTAATATTATTATTATGACGTGTAGAACTGTAGCCTTAGCCATAATATGTTCTTATGTTTAAGTCACGACATGTACTAACTAGAGGTCGTGAGAATGTTTTTAGTTACACACCACTTAACCAACAGACACACACATTCACACATTGATTTGCTTCATGTTTTGACTACTGCTATGACCAGCTGCAAAGCTGGTAACAGAGACGTCTCAGCTGACGTTTTCTGTGTAGTATGGGGCTAGCCCAACCGAAGGGATATAATGTATAGGCCTGGTGGGTTCAGGGTCTTTCATCTTACATCTGCCTGCGTGCAGAATGGAGGTGCAAGATACCTGAGCGTGTAATGTTAATTTTACCTGTGATCCTTTGAATAAATCAGCACTGTTTTGAAGTTACTTGGACTGTCTCATCTCTCAGAGTTAGCAATGGTAATAAGAACCATATCCAGCAACTTGGTGCCTCTGTAACAAACTCACTGTCCTATGGCAGAGACGTGCCTGTGCAATCAGGCGAGCAGCGTGTTTAATGAACAGTTTTACAGCCCCATCTGCTGGCGGGGCCTCGTCATAGGACCCAAACAGACCTCTTTGACCCATTTTTTGAGTCCAACGTACAAATTTATCTCTTTCACTACAGTGTTGGTTTAAACCCTGTGTGCCAAGCCATTTGTTCAACAATTGATACAAGATTGCACCCAATGTGCCTGATTTGCAATTTTTCCAGTCCGGAATCACATCACAGTCAGCCATCATGAAAAATTAATATGCCACACGTGACGCTGTCCTTTATGACAGACTCTTGGCCCGGTGAGACTGATCAAACTGTGGGGCTTCTAAAGAACGGCTAACCCCTTCTGCGCACAACTTCTGGGGGTTTATTCCCAATCAGATATCACAGTTTTATCTCAACAGGACAGACAATCACCCTATCTAATGCAATTTTCCCACTAAATCTATTCCCACCCGGACTTTTACACTGCTGTACAAGGCACGATAACTCCACAACGAATTCTCACAATAAACATATTGTCTAAAGTGATACACTTGTGGAAAAACGTTTTAATTAGCCTTTTGTACAGTTAACCTCA